CAACTGAGCTGCTGCTCCGCACCCCAGACCCCCAGTAACAACACAGCCCCCCGCCCCGCCAATCACACACAGCACTGCCTTTTCAGACTGACAGCAGGAACTTCTCACACAGCCGGGACGGCCAATCAGACAGGGTCCTTTCAGTCTTCTCCATATATATCAGAGACACATCACTGTTTCCTCTCCCTGAAGACACTCCCAGCAGTGATCCCTGAAGATCAAATATCCATACATGCAAATATGTTGAAAAACACACCTTTTCATGGGGTATACTTACTTTTTCTACAGCACTGTAAATCGGGTTTCCCTTAGTCTACTGCATGTGAAAATTGATCTGACAGAATTTACAACCTCTAGCCTTATTCTCAATATATTCTCTTCCGAGATCCCTTTCTTCTTCAAAAGTTTATTTAGCTATGCTATCTCTGGCAAGTAAGTATAACACTGAGTAGATAGAAGAAACAAAATGAGCAAAGACTTTTATTGCCCTAATTAAATTTTGTACATCACTATGTAGCGGAGAGCTTCCTCTGCGTTGTGTCAAATGAACACCCAGGGACACCAGGTAGAGGTCTGCGATTTTATTTCCTTATAGAACATAAAACACGTGGATGTTCCACACGTTAAATGTCTCTCTTTCTCTCCGCATCGACGTCCACAATGCATCAGAGATTCTCATTATAATTTTATTACATAAAATATCTAAATAATAATAGATTATATATATAAAAATGTAATTAATACCATATATCATATCAATGACAAATAAATTACAATGATTATAATAAATGCATAAATCGCCCCTTTCTTTTTCCATGTTTAATCTATCATCACAGTATACGTACTCTCCAAGATATAAGCCAATATCCCGTTACCTTACTCTACAATGCAACTTTTTGTACGTTAACATTTGGTTGATAAAATCGCACACCTAAGATATCAAAGTAAAAAAGAAGAGAGAAAAAAGTTATAACAAAATGGACGAAATACCTTATAGAACATAAACCATGTGGGTGTTACACACGCTAAATGTCTCTTAATCTCCTGCTTAGCAAAATATAACACGTGGTTAAATACCGTATACTGCATTACACATTCCACTTATACAATACCACTATTAATTTAACACACAACTGTAACATTCTCAGAAATAATATCACCACATGAATATGTAATAAAGAAAATAAAATAACGCTGGCATACTAACCTGAATGACCACGTGTCGCTAGCACCACACTACACCCCGTTATGGTACGTTAGCATGGCGCAACAGGCCCTCCAGATCAGACATCCTAACTTTTTAATCAAATAAAACATTACTTGCAACCTAACAATGCGGCACATTCTTCATCACGTGGTCACCAATATATTACGCACTACCAGTTATAATTTAAAACAGAAAATCCATTGATTAAAAAAAAGTTGCGGCATCCACAATGCGTCTGAGAAATCACCAGAAAAATGTCACACCTATGACGCCCAGGGTGCATCTTAATTGACGCCCCTCCAACAACAAATCCCAAAGTATGTTGTAAAGCCTATACATAAAACTGGAACTAATTTTGGGGAAGTTCACAAAAACAAAATAAAAAACAACATAAATGATTACATTATATAACCATGGCTCAACACACCTGGCTACAACTGTAATGATGGAGACAGTCATCTACATAACGATAAACATTCTTATGTAAGATTGAATTGTGCTTGCCTTTGCCAAAAGAACATTAAGGTGTTTTTCTTAAATAAAATCCCCAATCACCTGTGTACCATGTTTATACCACATCTTAAAGATTCCCAAGGTTAGTTAATATATGTTCTTTCTTTAATATGAGAATGAAATGAAACCCACAATGACCCACAGTGACTGAGAGGGACAAGCCCAGTTGTAAAAGACCACCGCTCTCTACAGGCAGCTGGAAGGATTTCAGCTTTATCACTGATCAAATACACCTGGCAAGTGCCCATCAGTGATAACCCTCCTGGTCAGGCATACGGAGAGCAATGCAGAGGGTATAAAAGACTCAATAATAATAATAAACTTTATTTTATTTAGTGCCTTCAAAGGTGGATTCTCAAAGTGCTTTACAAAATGACAACAACATAACAAATACACAAGACACACACAATGAAAACACACAATGAGAGGAGATGGGGACACTGAAGGTACAGCAGGACTTTCAGCTGAACTGAACTGATTTGGCCCAGAAGGGAAAGAGGGAGAATATGCAAGAGTTCCAAGTCTATTTGGACATTTAGAATTATTGCTGCAATGTTTAGTTTCCACAATTCTCTAAGATTCAGTGAGACATTTAGCCCATGGTAAACGGAATTTAGACCGTTTAACTGGGACATTTGGAAGGGACCCCGTATAATTGAAGCCACCTAGAGAAATGGCCTTAGATTTATGGTAATTCATTTTAACATCTGAAATGGAGCTAAACTCATTCATGACCACTAGGACAGCTTAGACAGGTAAAGACAGAAACAAGAAAACACTGTCCACACAAAGGGAGAAGTTATGTGTCATGTCACCAAGTTTTAAACTTTTTATATCCTCAAGTATTCTAATAGTTTCTGCTGCTAGCTTGGCTGATGTTTCTGGGCAAAATGTAATGGTATTTGTCCATGAGTGCTTGTAATTTAAATTACAATTAAATACCAATTACCATGTAATTTAAATTAAATAAATAGAAATGAATCTTCCTACATAAATGGATATAAATTTTCCAAAAATCTTTATTTTTTAACAGGTTTCAGTGCTGTAAAAAAAAAGGTTAGATTTAGAAAATACTGGAGTCATTAGCGTGAGCAATACTTTGTGTATCATTTACAAAGATATATATACATATATAAGATATATAAAGATATATATATATACAAAAATATATTGCTTTGATGATGCAGGTTTAACTTGGGAGTTTTCTGAATCTGAAATGCTGTTCAGAACCTGTACAGATTCAGGTGCCAGGGAGTTCTGCTAAGGGGTTAAAGACCTTCATGATCAAGTCATGCCACAATAGACTAAAAATAAATCATCATTCAACTCTAAACTTCTGTGTATTGTACTATCCAGTGTTACTCTCCTGTGTGAATAAGCTGGTGTCTTTTTAAATGGCTTGGCTGACTAAAACTCTTCCCACAGTGACTGCACTTAAAACGTCCCCCTCCTGTGTGAATAAGCTGGTGGGTTTTTAAGTTGTCTACTGTACTAAAACTCTTCCCACACTGACTACAGCTGAGCAGTTTCTCTCCTGTGTGAATTAGTTGGTGTTTTTTTAAGCTGCTTGCCACACTAAAACTCTTCCCACACTCACTACAGGTGAATGGTTTCCCTCCCGTGTGAACAAGCTGGTGGGTTTTTAAATTTCCTGCCTGAATAAAGCTCTTCCCACACTGACTACAGGTGAAAGGTTTTTCTCCTGTGTGAACAAGCTGGTGGGTTTTTAAATTGCCTGCCTGAATAAAGCTTTTCCCACACTGACTGCAGGTGAAACATTTCTCTCCTTTATGAACATGCTGGTGGGTTTTTAAATTTCCTGCCTGAATAAAACTCTTCCCACACTGACTGCAGGTGAAACGTTTCTCTCCTTTGTGAATAAGCTGGTGGGTTTTTAAATTGCCTGCCTGAATAAAACTCTTCCCACACTGACTGCAGGTGAAACATTTCTCTCCTTTGTGAACAAGCTGGTGGGTTTTTAAATTGCCTGCCTGAATAAAACTCTTCCCACACTGACTGCAGGTGAAAGGTTTCTCTCCTTTGTGAATAAGCTGGTGTGTTTTTAAATTGGCTGCCTGAATAAAACCCTTCCCACACTGGCTGCAGAAGAAAGGTTTCTCTCGTGTGTGAACAAGCTGGTGGGTTTTTAAATTGCCTGCCTGAATAAAGCTCTTCCCACACTGACTGCAGGTGAATGGCTTCTCTCCTGTGTGAATTAGTTGGTGTTTTTTTACACTGCCTGCCTCTGTAAAGCTCTTCCCACAGTGATGGCAGGTGAATGGTTTCTCTCCTGTGTGAATTCGTAAGTGGGTTTTTAAATGACTTGCCTGATTAAATCTTTTCCCACACTGTTTGCAGGTGAATGGTTTCTCACCAGTATGGGTGCGCTGGTGACATTTTAATTTACTTGATTGTCGAAAACATTGCTGCTGTCTGGGCTGTACTGACATTTTCTCTACATTATCCAAACAAGGTGCTGGATGAGTCTTCCTAATCCTCTGGCCTGCAGTGAGCTGGTGATTTTTAACGTTGCTTGAATGATTAATCCACTGCTGCACTGACAGTCTCTGCATGTTTGCAGAAGAAGAACTCATTCCTATCAAGTCCTGTAGGCCTCCCTGTTGTTCCTCTCTTTCCTCTCTGTACTGACTCTCCTCTGAGTACAGTAATTCAGTACTGTTCTCTTTGCCAGGTACATGCGTCTGCTGCTCTGAAGGCTGAATCAACTGGGAACTGAAAACTTTCAATTCTTTTTCTTCCTCTTCCTTTCTTCCTTGAACAGAGACCAACTCCAGTTCATTCACATGCTTTGCTATACTCTTAGTGTCCAAATTATTATACATCTCTGTAAAGTTCTTAGATACTAAAGAATGATTCATTTGTTTAAAACACTTCTGCAATGACAGTCTCTCCACTCTAACAGAACAAGGCCTTATTATCATCAAGCCCTGTAGGAGCTGTTGTTGTTCCTCCCTGTCCTCACTCTTCACTGTGTGCTGTAATTTAGTACTGTTCTCTTCACCAGGTACATCAGTCTGCTGCTCTGCAGGGTCAATCAACTGAGGATCCACATCCTGCTTTTTAAGATTAAATGCATACAGTTGTTTTTTGTGATTTTGTACAGAGTCACAGTCCAGTTCGTTACAACCTTGTCTAATATTGTTAGTATCTAGATTATTAATCTTCTTTGTAAAGTCCTCAGATACTAAGAGCCCAGGTGTCTCACTCTCAGACTCCATTTTCATCATGGGCACAGAGTCCAGAACCTCAACAATCTGTCTGCTCTCTGTGTGCTGCTCACTGAGTTTCTCTTTCCCTTCTGCAGCAGTGAGCTCTGTCTCCTGCATCAGACAGGAGCCCCACTCCTCACTGTGCTGCTGTTCAAGAGGAGCCCTTTCCCCAGCGTCAGGGAGACCACTGGCCTCTGAGCCTGAAAACACAGGAGAAGAGAATAAAACCTTTAACGTGATCTTAGAGGAGAATTCAAAAGGAAATAATATTCATGCATAAGAGGCAAAAAATAATAATTTTTAGATAGCAAGGAAATATCATCAATAACCTTATCTAAATGAAATTGTCAAAGCTCATTTTCAAACTAGATATACACCAAATAGTCAAACACACTCGAGTTGCCTGAACACAGATAACGTGAAAAGGAACTGAAAATAATAAAATCATGACACTCAAAAGAAATAAATTTAATCCTAGTCTCTGTCCAAGTGAGGTTCTGAATCCAACTATAACAAAAGGAAATGTTCAGCCACAGAGATCAGAAAAGCATGAACTGCAGATGCAGAACAAGACTTGTTCTCCTAAAAATGAAAGGGATTTTATAGCATCTATATAGACCAGCACAGAGCACTTGTCACACCAATATTCACAAACTGACTGGATGCTACAGTTCACTGACACTGCACTGAGACACAGACACACTGACTGCACACTACAGTACATTAACACTTTAATCAGAGAGAGGGGTTAACACAGACAGACTGACTGGACACTCCAATACATTAACAGTGCACTGAGAGAGAGAGGGATTAATACAGACACACTGACTGAACACACCAGTACATTAACACTGCACTGAGAGAGAGGGGGGTTAATACAGACACACTGACTGAACACTCCAGTACATTGACATTGCGCAGAAAGAGGAGAATATAGACACAGTGATCCTGAAAATGTTAATATGGCCACTTACATTTATATTATTATATATGTTCAAGAAGTTAGCTGCATCAGCATGTGCAGGTTGCAAAGCAACAAGTAAAGGTTTATTCGTTAAACGTAAAGGTTTATTCGATGAAAAGAGAAGAAACGTAAAGGTTTATTCGATGAAAAGAGAAGAAAAGAAACACAATAGAAACATTTTCTTCTGTTTCTTCTCTTTTCACCATGTAATAAACCTTTACTTGTTCTTATAATTATATATTACATATATAAATAATACATGAGATGTGTGTATTTATATGTACAGACATATAATACAAATACAATAATTTTGGTAATGACGCTTAATTATAGAAAGTGATTCAGTTATACAATTATTGTGTCTTTACTTACTTTAACCTTCAGATTTACAGCAGACCAAAGAACTAAAAATATTGCTTTACATTATATTTTCACTAAATTTACAAATACAAACTAACTGTGTCTAAATGACGTGATTGTAGCCCTGTTACTATATCAAGGATGTTTTAAGCACCATAACCAAACAACAACAATTCAGTTTGCAGTAAAGAATCTCGTTGCTACTGTACATCACACAGTATTTTCCACTTCACTCTGCATCTCTCCACTATACTCTCACCAGTGAGGAAGTTAAAGACACTGTTTTTAAACACACAGACACTGACTTCATACAAGTCATCACACTGACCTGACAGCTCCAGTTTCGTGTCCATTTCTTCTTTTATTTCTGCAGGGACTTCACAGGGAAGCGTGTGTCCAACACGATCTGTCTGTCCCTGATCTCCTCCTCCTCCCGACTCCTTCTCCCACAGCTGCAGTCTCCACTTCAGGCTCTCGTTTTCCTTCTTCAGCTGCGCCATTTCACTCCCGAAACTCTCTTCCACAAACTGTGTGATTTTAACCATCCTGTTTCGAAAAACTTCAGAAACTTCGTCCACGATCGATTTAAGCGAAACCTCCATGAAGGAGTGAAGCTCTGTCTCCAGTGTGAAGAACACATTAGCCATCTTTCTAAAGATTCGATCTGAAACAGAGGCAGAAGTTATACGTTCGGGGTCTCTACAAATCTACAGATAAACAGGGTCGTTTCTTCAGGAGATGAAAAGTTATTTTTAAATAAAATAACCGTCTTTATTATTCATCCAAACTAACCGATTAAATTAGTGCCACGTGGGTTAAATATCTGCACAGCCGCGATTCGTGATGACGTCATACACTAGCGCTGCAGCGGCTTCAAAACAGCCGAGGAGCGGAGAAAGGAGATTCGGCAATTTGATATAAACTTCACTGCAGCTGCTACCACCAGCTACTCGGGAGGTCTGAATCGCCATCGAGCTGCACTCTTCGTGTTGAACCGTGCGATTGCAAATTTATTTCAGCTTTATACAGTACCTTCAAGGACATATGTACAATATTTTCACTGTAGCTGTTTAATGTAGGTAAGTAATATGTTTATTTTGAATATGCCTTTTTTCTGCAAGCTTTTGTTCAAAACATGTTTAATACGTTTAAAATATTTTTAAATCGAAGTATCGAAGAGTATATGTAAGAGTTTCAGATATACGCATCAGCTAATCCTTTTTGTTTTGTGTTACACAATCAACACAGAAATGCAAATATTAATGTAGCCCGGGAAAGCACGCACTGTACTACAATAAACTTAAATGGGGATTCTTTTTATTCTGGATCTGCATGAAATCATAAAAATGATTGGTTGTATTATTTTCTGTTACAGAATTTAGATTGGATGCAGTATAACCTTTAACCCGAAAAATTCACATAGATATACATGGAGATATACACACACCAGGATGCACAAAGTGCTACTAAAATAACAAAGACAAAAAAAAAAAATACGGTAGTGGCAATTTCCCTAAGGAAAGAAATACTCCACATTAGTCTGAATGCCACATTCTTCATTGGTCCCATTACATCACAGAGATATAAAAACAAAACTACTCACTCTAATCTCGTCTAATCCAAGACACACAGAATATCACAGTCTTCTTTTAACACGCTCTCTGCATTCACATCACACGGAGCCACACACCAAGCTCAGCTTTACTATGTTTATTTTTAAAGATTTTTTTATTAAATGTATAAAAAGTTTACAAATACAATCAGAGGATCAAATTATGTACAAGATAACAAACACAAACAGAAAAATAAGCAGTTAACCGCCAGAGGTAATAAGTAAGTTATATGATTAAATTGTATTTTTAACATATATCATATGTTTTCCGTGCTTTATTATTTCTCACATTTTTAGTAGAATTTAAATAGAACTTTACGATGTTCACTTCCACAATTACTGGCGCACTGACGTCACTCATACGTGCGTGTCTTGAAGCAACAGCTACCAATTTCAGTGTCAGATTTCAAATATCCACTCCGTAACCACCCGGTTACATTAAAAATAATTGTCTCCTGAAGAAATAGAACAACTATTTATAAAATAGCAAGAACATTAAGTACAAAATTAAAAGTATACTTTTCAGATATGCTATTATAAATTTGGTTAGTGGCACCATTGCTTAACAAAGAGGGTAGGTTGTTGAATTGCCCTGAGTTCTTGGACAGATTCCAGATTCCAGTTACCCCTTGGGAATATGCCATAGTCCCTGATGTTATCCATGAGAAAGTGACTCTGTCAGTACTGCCTTTCCTGATTTTACTGTAAATCTGGTCATGGATGGTATGGAAATAAAAGACAGAAAATGCAATAACAACCACATCTGTCTACCTTCTGCTTCATTCCTTCCTGTATATCCTTCTGGAGTTCAGTATGTGAAAATATTCATTTCAGATAGTTTTATACCAACCTTGATAGATATTGCCTAAGAAACAAGATTAAAGAAATAACTTTTTAATACTGTGGGTCCTGTCCTTCACTTTGTTTCCACTGAAGAGGTTGGTCTGGTCTCCAGGTTACCAATAATAAGCTCAGGCAGTGCTCCTCAGTAAAGCAGTGTTTGTTTGTATCGCTTATGTGGGGCAGCACGCCAGTTTGATGACACACACTTGGCTTTTTTTCTTCTTCATTTAAGCAAATATCAAAATCTCCAGTCTAGTGTTGCTGTAAGCCATGTTCATTGCAGGGTTGTTGCAATCAAAACATAAATTTACTAACCATATACCTGTATGATCATGGCAAGATGCTGAGACATACATGTGGCTTGGCATACCTGCATGGACATGTCTGTGATCTCAACGTGTGCCAGGGATCTGAAAAGTCCTGATGTTGTACATCAAGTAAGTCACAATAAATAGACTCTGCAGTGCTCTGGGTGCCAGCTAGCTCTCTAACAAGCAAACAATAAAGACTATGCTTACTTTATGTAGAGTGTGGCTATACTCCCTTAGGGTCTAGTGATTAGCAATCAGATGTTTTTATCCAAGTAGCCCGGGTTCAATTCCCAATATGGGAATGTGGCTATATAAACTTTTTGTTTACAAAATATGAGCTCAATACAGAAACAAGGTTCATAAAATAAGAATGGCAAACATGTGATTAAATATTTTTCTAATTATTTTATTACGAAGTAGTGCAGTCCTGCAATAGAATATTAATAAAGGGTTTGATGCATTATGACAAATTATTCTGAATGGCGAGATTTGCTCCCATATGGCCTAGTGATTAGCAAACTGTAGTGTACCATGGAACTGAACATTATCTGTACCTCCCCATTTCCAGGGGATATGTGTTTGGGGGGGGTTACGTTATGTGGCTCCTAGGAAAGTAGTTTAAGTTAGTTCAGTTAGATGTTCATTGGAAGCTACACTATGCTGTTCAATAATGCTAGCGTTCAACATAATCCTTGAGTGGCTCTGCGTTTTGAGGTAGATATAATAATTGTGATGATATATCAATCTAATAGAATTTAATAAATGTATAACAATTATTATACCAATAAAACAATCTAGTAACTTCTGCCATAGGTTGTCAGATAAGTATTTTATTTTCTATTTATATTTAATTGACTGAGTTCATATAGTTATATATTAAAAAAGCATAATGCGTCATACCATGAATCCGCTCACTATAACACCAACTAAGCAAACCAACTTTTGCAATCCTCTTTCTCACCATCAACCGTTACACCTCTCTGTAGAGGGAAAAGTCCACTGAAAATGCAATTCAGTCACTCAGAGCTACTAATTCCAACCTCTCATTTTAATTAACATTGAAAGAAATATCAAGCAGATGATTTTGGCAAAAGAGAAGGAGATCTTCGGGCCCATACAGGGAACAGACCCATACATTGGTGTTACCAACTGAGCTAACCAGCCACATGGAAGAAGTTCTCTTTTTGCGGCGTAAAATTTAATTTAGAGAAGTTTCTTTTTTCTAACTTGAATAAAAAAGCCTCGCAATTAAGTGTCCTGGCTTTCTGGGAGTGGACAAAAGAGTCTGAGTCGCTGATTTTCTGTCTCAGTCCTCCTTGGAAGAGGAAGGGAGTATGAACATCATGCCCGAGTCGGTTATTGCAGCTGACTATCGCAGGAGAACAGTTCATCACAAGCATGTCAGTCTACATAATGAGGGGGAATAGAGCAGCCTCTGTGATGTAGTATTGAGTGACACTGTTGGAAAATAAACCTTGTGGATTTCCATGTTGTCTTCCTCTTGTGTTAGTGTCCCCCAATTCCCTAAATTGTGCTTTGGTGATTATTCAGGCTATAGAATACAGTACAATATTCTGTCAGTATTATAGAATTCACATCATTAGAGAAGCTAAGACACATTTTATTGTTATTTTGCTTATATGTAGAAATGTGTCCTGTACATAATTACTTGTTAGTTTTAGAAAATTCCCTTTTTCCCTAAAAGCAGGCTTCCTAACATCTTCAGCAGACAAAAGGTTAAATTAACTCTTAAAGGTCCAGAGTAAAAGTATATAGAATATTGTTTTACACACCCTCTTCCTGTTTTGGAAGTATACTTATTTTACAGGTGGCCCAGTGGTTAACACTGCTACCATGCAGTGATGGAGTTCTGTGATTATTTTCTGATATGCTGTGCTATCCTTGTGGAGCTTGTATGTTGTCCCCATGTTTGCATGAGTTTCCTCCAGGTGCTCCAGTTTCCTCCTACACTCCAAAAACATTCTGATGGCATTTTAGGAAACAAGTTTAAAAAGGCCTTTTCTTTCATGATCATGAGTTTTGTAATGTCAGTTTGTCACACCTCTTTAAGTTTCCTTTTCTGCTGGGGTGATATTATCATTGTGAGTGGCCAGGAGCTACTTAATTTGTGATAGTCTTAATATGAAACATTAGAAAGCACATACCAAAAATGGTTCTAAAAAGTTTATTGCAAAACAAAACTTTAATGTATAAACATTTGCTCAGAGCTGCTCTAAGGCTGTGTGACTCTGTTGGTGAAGCTCTTCTGTGTCTAGACCTGCAGGAGGAGCTTCTCCCAGACAGCCCTGTCAGTCTCACATCACCCATCCTCTCCCTGAGACTCATCCCCAACATCATCATAGTCAGTCTTGTCAGGGGCAGGAGCTCCTTCTTCAGAGGGCAATGTGGGCAGGACCCTGTCTACTCCAGGTCCAGTGTGGGGGACACCTGACAGAAAGAGACAGGCTCAGAGACGGGCAGTGGACAGCTGAGGGACAGGGATAACTGTTAGCTGATATTTTTGGTTTAGGAGGTCATTAAAATTAGACCCATACATTTGTAATCATGGGTACAGTATGTATTTTTGAAATTGTATATGTGTGATTTTAAAATCTATAAGAAGTAATTGTTTATTAACTGTGTGGAAATAGATAGTGTCATAAAATTAATGTTTTAATTAAATCAGGCCTTGACTAACATGGTTTTTCAAATGAGTCAGCTATTAAAATAATATTGTTACAAATTGGAGTTATGAAAATGGTGAATATCAGAAGTGACTAGATAAAATAATAATTAAAATAATCCCAAACTTGTAAAGATTTTGCCAAGAATATGCCCAAGCTTTTGGTAGTGTTAGAGAAAGATGAGTTATTTGATCTTTTGCACAGCTATGGGGGAAAAAAAGGAATAGTTCAGACACAATTCGTTAAACAAATGTTTACTAACAATGACAATATACACACTAAACAACACATGGCATAAACATACAGCACACATGTACAAATTTACTTTAGAGTGCTTTAGAGACCTACATCCTAACCACACAGAAAAACCCAAACTGCCACCAAGTATTCAACATTTACAAAATACCTACACAGGCCAAAAGGAGAGACATAGCTGCTGTTTTAAACCAAACAGAATATGACCTACACCTACATACACCTCTCCATGAACCCGGATGCTATAAAACGAATGGCAGCCTATCTTCTAAAAATACTCTCACATGCCAGGAGAGGCTGTTTTTTTGCCAAGGGAGTCTCTAAACAAGATATTAAAGTTTCTAAAAACAACAGAATGGCAAGCTCTCTTAATGCGGTTCAAATACTAAACTCTGTTGAGGTCTTTCTGCTTGATCTGGACAAGGAGTTTTCATGTACCAGGAACTTCACTAAGGTAAACATTATGTTTGCTTTAATCACTGAGTCTTACACCCCTACATGTCAGCTAACATCTCCTTGCATTGAAGCCCATGAGAATTGGAAATGTTGACTCTAGCCAGTTGTATCTACATTTTTTAAAAACACTTCCATAGTCACAACAGTATAGTGAATGGGGGTTTTAATTTGCTGGAACAATCTGAAATTGTAAGAGCAAATTGTTACTGTACTTGATGATCACAGTCTGACACACATGCATTCTAAATAAACAATATACATTTTATTGATATAACCATAGCATGCATGAGAAACTACAAGTGTAATAGAACATATCTGAGAGATCTGCTTTGATATAAATGGCTGTTAGTGTTAGTTATTGTATATAGAATAGTTTTTTTTTATAATATTGTAGTCCAAAAACATTAATTAGGCATTTTTTCAAATAAAATTGTATCTAGGATGAATTCCTGATTCAGTGCAGATTTTACTTCTGTTCATGACACACAAATTCTCTAAAACTTCAGTATTTTCAGAACATAGGAATTCTCTCCACAGTCAGAGAACACAATTCCTGGTGTTGGGGAATATAAAGCTTTGCTCTGCCCAGACCTCACTCTCTCCGAATCTCAATCATCTGATTGGCTGGGTGTGACAGTAGGTGGGTTTCAATGAAACTCTGATCTATGAGATCTAACCTTGTACGAGTACAGTCTCTTAGCCTGTATTGGCTGTTATTTATCCCTGCAGGACACTACTACTGCAAAATGCCTGATGTCCCTTTGTCTTGGATGAGAGTGGCACAGAGATTGATTACTGGGGGTCAACTTTCCCATACCTGAACTACTTCACCCACACTGAGCCCCCTGGCTGTAGCCCCCTTTACCTAAAGTGGGATCTTCCTCACTGTCCCCCACATCACTGTATTCAGAGTGTGTCTCATCAGAGAGGAGTCTCTCTGTGAACAGAAGAGCAGGTCAGTAATGTCTCTGTCATTCTGACACAGGCTGGCCTGTAAGAGAGCACTTCTTTTCAAGTTAGTGTTTATTTGCTGGGGTGAAATTAGGTTGAAACTCATTTCTAATGACAAAGGCTACTGTGGGCTGGTACAGAGGGTACTCCTGAGTCTTATTTATAATAACTCACCTGACACTGTGTCTGGGCTCTGGGGCACAGCGATGACATCATCATAATGCTCAGGAGCCTCTTCTTTCACAGAGGACATCAGCTCTCCTGATCCACACAGAGCACAGTTTCACTGTCACACATCAGATTTTAAATACAACAACAAACTTAACTAACCCTTTAAACAAAAGTTCACGCAAATACACAAGTGACCTACGAATTCAGATAAGGGAAAACGAGTGTAGACACAAGGAACGGGGTACAAAAGAGCACAGAGGTTGATATAACATGTTTGGGCAAGGTAATGGTGAAATAAAGGATAATACAAATAAACTAAAGTACAAGGAGGAGAAGAACACAAACTAACAAAGCCGAAGCCATATGGAAACACAAACACAAAGCAAAACAAATGAAAACAGAGGAACAAGAAGCTGAAGCTGAGCCGAGCAGAACCGAAGTTGAGCAAAACGTCCCCTACGTTCTGAAAACCTCCAAGTTAAATACAGTTGAATTCTGATCGGTCAAGAAGCTGATCACGAATGATGTAATACGGCAAGGTGGATGAATTAATGAACCAATGAGGAGGGAGAATAACCAAACGGACCACACTGGGATGTAACATCATATTAGAACTAAAACACCGGACTTTAAATACAGGAGATCAGGGAACCTTTTTTCCACTCCTATTCACTTCCGTTATAAATTTAAAACTAGATTTGAACAGTGAATGATGGCTGTATTTGGACAGAAAAAGTAGTGATGTGCACACTTTGAGATATTGGAAGGGGAACCAAACAGCACAATAATACAGATGGATTGGTGCAGGGTTTCTCCATGTGACTGGACTGAAATAACCCACCTGACAAGGCATCTGGGCTCTGAGGTACAGTTACAGCATTGTCATAGTACTCTGGGGCCTCTTCTTTCAGAGAGGGTATCGATTCTTCTGAACCACACAGAGAGACAGACAGTTTACACTTCAGGACTCTGACTTACTTCACCACATAGCTACAATAACTTTAGTCTTTCATAACACTTTGATGTCTGTGGGTACTGTCTGTATGAAACAGAAAGTAAATTAAGTAAGTCACATTTTCTATTTGGTTATTGTGAAGTGCATTTTTAAATGCTTTGTGGTGTATAATTAAGGCACGACTCTAGGGTCAGTGATTTAACATTTGATCTAAAAGAGAGTTTCTACAGCATACTGTTCCCCAGTCATCACACTGGGAAACTTGTATTGAATTCTGGACCTGAGGCACCATCTCCTACTCAATCAACACCAATTAGTCAGCATCCTGACTTTTCTTTAAAGGTCTCCCATCCCAGTATTGACCAGGTCTTGTTTTGCTCAGCCTCTGTGATCTGTTGAGATCAGGCTAGCAATGAGCAGAGTTTATAAGGTATCACAAACACATGTGGTCATATTTGTAAGACCCAGGAATATCTACTCAAGTTCTCTAAATGTCAGCCTGGTTTGAGGTGAGAGTGAGTACTGGACTGAAGATCCCCCACTACCACACTGAGTCCCGTGACTCCAGCTCCCCTCACCTGGCACTGGGTCTCCCTCACTGTCCTCCACATCATCGTATCCAGAGGGCAGCTCGTCAGAGAGGAATCTCCCTGTGAACAGGAGGACAGATCACTAATACCTGCAGTCAGACAGCAGTCTCACTGTCCTCTACTGGGAGATAAGCCAGGGTGTGAACAGTAACACAGAGTTTGTGTTTATAAGTCAGATCAGGGACAGCGCTGTGCTGATTTTCTTTACTCACTTTGACGTTCCTCTTGAGTAAGAAAATTACTGTCTGAAACCAGCTGAGTAACATTTTCTACAAGTGTACATCCTCAGATTGTCCTCAGAGGGTGGAGATCAATCACACCTGAACACTCTCTCCACTCACCTCTCCTGGGGGCGCTGTAGGTTCCCTCTCTGGCCAGTTTGTACTCTATTTCCTCGTAGACGGCATCATGATAGGGGGCAAGTGCTCCTTCAGATAGGGCTGTGTAGGGAAACAGACACTCAGGGTTACAAGGGGTACAAGCAAATCAATTCACTGCTAAATATTTTTGAATATTTGTGCATATCAATGTTATAATTCTACACATCTGCAAATTTCTTCAGATTTTGTAATTACTTACACTCTTTCCTAAATTTTCTCTACCCTACTAAATTGTTCACATCCAAAATCCACATTAAATTAGACAGAATGTAATTGATCATTTAGAGAAGATTGTTTTCCTGAAGTCCAATTTAGATCAGTTCTGTGTGACAGTAATGGCCACTAGGGGTCAGTATGTGGATGGTAAGTTCCCCTCTCTACCTTTCCTTAGCTTCCTGTTCTGGATCAGCTGCCCCACTAACAGGGCCAGCACCACGAAGAGAAGAGCCCCCATCAGCAGGAGGGCCAGGGGTGAGACGGACAGACCTCCCAGCGGCTGTGTCTGGGGTGTTGTCCTGGTGCTGCCTGAGGGAGAAGAGACAGGGGATGAACAGGGATGAGGAGTTGTGCTAGTGGGCTCATACAGGCTTTAACACATTAAATTCCCTGAGTTTCCCATCAGGAGGTGTTAGGACCTCGGGGTTAATCCAATATCAACATAGAATTGTAAAGGATGCTACATCAACACTGTCAGAAAATCACTGAGAGAGGAGAGGAGACACTACAGCTACACTGGGAATTTGGTGAGACAGAAAGACAGGAGATATCAATGACCAGGAGGATTTCTGTTCACCTGTAGCTGTTGTTGGAGTGGCTCTTCTCTCTGAAAAACCTGTGAAAGAGATAGGAGATTTGTCATTATTTTTCCTTTGCTTTTACAGCAAGTTGAATCCACAGTGGAGCTGATAAAAAATATATTTATTTCTTGAGGTAAAACATAAGATTGCAGAGATGAAAGAAGTCAGGTTCTGAATTGAAGAGTAGTGTTGTTCACACACACAGAGCTACACAACATCCTAGTTTTATGACTGATGATCCTAGTTGGTTCAATTAGATATTAAACAGTTATAGAATATGTGTAACTTCAGTGTATCTTCTCCGTCAATCTGCTACCTTGTTCATCTACAGTGCTAAGACTCCCCTCACCTGTACAGGTAACCCCTGCATCCTCCTTGTGTCGACAGTCACTCTGATTCAGTCCAGAGTGACAGCAGTCCCACAGGTGAAGTTCACTGCCTGTGCAGTTCACCTCGTCCAGCCAGATGGTGCCACTCCCTGGTCCAAATGAGGCCTCTATTGCTGCACTCACTGCGTCCCCACAGCCCAGCTGTCTGCAGACCACCTGGGCATCCTGCAGGTCCCAGGAGTCGTCACAGACTGTCCCCCAGGAGCCCTCGTACTGCAGCTCCACCCGCCCAGAGCAGTTAGTGCCTCCAGCCAGGCGCAGAGCCAGTGGGACTGAAAGAGAACAGTGAGGTTACTGAGCATCCTCAGCTCTGTGACTCTAGAAGAGAGCAGAGAAGTTACTGAGTGACTGTAGTAGAGATCAGTGAGGTATTGAGTGGCTCTAGAAGAGAGCTATATGGTTACTGTTCCTCAGATCAGGGCTGCACTGTCTCTGATTGTTTTACACACTGAACTCACCTGGGCAGTACAGGTGAGGCTGCTCTTCCTGAGGGGCTGGAGTGCTTCTGTCAGCTTCTTTTCTAGGACCTTCAAAGATTAATGATCATATACAAAATCAAACTCACAGAAAAAAGTGAAGAACAACAATAGTATTTCCTTTATTTTTATACTTGTTTGGATATACATTGCTAAGAATTCTGTTGAAAGCTCATGACGAGACAATCACTGTAGAGCTGCTCAAGAGGAAGATAGCATCACTCTTCACTCTGTACCTGAGCAGGTGATCTCAGCCACTTCCCGGTCTTCACAATCATTCTGACCCCAGGCGGGGGAGGGACACTGCCACAGGGTGGAGTCGTGTTTGCGACAGGAGACAAAGTCCAGCCATTTGGGGTCTGGGCTCAGCCTGGAGTTTGTCTCTCTGATGGTGCCCTTGTTTCCACAGCCCAGCTGTTTACAGATCACTGCAGCTGTGGAGTCAGTCATGCCATTCTGACACACACTGCCCCAGGTGCCATTGTAGTAAACCTCTGCTTGTCCTGAACAGCCTGCAGACAGCCTCAGTATAGTGTGATCTGCCAAGAGAACATGAAAAGCCAAAGGAAACAAACCTTGATAAGAGAGCTAGGCGTATGAACTGGTAAGAAACAGGTGGATAACATTGAGATGTTATCAGCACAAGTTGAAATGAGACTGATCACTACCAACTGAAAAAGTTGAAAATTGATTAAATGTTCCACCGGACCTCTGAGAATTTAAATCCCATTAGAGGATTTAGATCTGATTCAGATCATCAACACCATTCAGATCAGCTTGATTGTTCATCAGCAGCACTCAGGGTGACTGAACTAGCAATATGAAAGAAGAACATGCAGCTCTGGTTGACAATCAACACCAAGTGATCCCACAGGATCTGGCCAGAAGAGACTCTTCGATCAAATCAAGATGAAAATATTGAGTCAGAAAGTCATGAAAGACAATGGCCAAGACAAATACAGCCTATTAGGCAACAGGCAACATTGATATTGGGAGCTTACAGTTTACAGATTAGATACTAAACTTCACTGGAGGGCTGAAACTCAATAAAACACATCTAGGCACTCTACATGCAAGCCATATTCACAATGTGGGAGTAATTGGTATTAGCTCCCCAACCTGAGCACAGGATTCTCACATCCTCCTTGTGTCCACAGTCATGCTGTCCCCACCACGCTGAAGGACACTCCCCAAGTGACGACTCGTTTCCCAGACAGCCCACCTCATCCAGCCAGATGGGTCCAGTTCCCTGGCTGAAGGAGGCCGGCACTGTGGCACTGAGGGCCGTCCCACACTGGAGCTGCCTGCACACCACCTGAGAGTCTGCCAGGTCCCAGGAGTCATCGCAGACTGTCCCCCAGGAGCCATTGTGATAAACCTCCAGCCTCCCAGCACAGTCGCTTCCTGCCCCAACCAGCCTGAGGGATAGCTGATCTAGGAGCAGAGAGGCAAAGGTCAGGGGTCAGGGGTCAGTGAAGTACTCTAGAGGCAGACAATTTGCTGTAACAACATAAACATCAGCTCAGGCCACTGGGCGCAGCAGATGCATTACAAGCATCTCATGTGTCTCCTGGGGCTCCAGTCTGAGTGAATAGCAGCAGCTCAGTTACTGAAAACCCAGAGTCAAGACTGTCCACCCACCACAGGATCAGCAGTATACACACAACAGTTTGCTGTGGGTCTTACAGGAAATGGGAGGATTCCTCAATCTCATCCATTTGAACACTGTGGAACTACTTCACATATTAGAAGAAAGAAAACATTTCATAGATTTAAATATTCAGTTAGGAGAAGTGATGACTGTCAAAATCTTCTCCACACAGCAGGGTAAGAGAATTTGGAAATAACATTAAAAACTGGAATGGGATTTAAAGATTTCAGAATTGGGCATTTTGATTAATTTCATATATTCTTTTAGCAGACTGTGACAATCATCACTACTGTACCAACTATGATAAAGCACAGAAACAGTACCTCTCAGGTGACAAACTGAAGTGTTCATATATTGTAGATGCATTTGTTGCAGATCCCACAAACACTGTATGAGAGAGGTTAAGGAGGATGGTGTTGAAAACCCACACACACACCTGCTGCCAAATAGACTAATCTGGGATTGAACTGATTAACAGAGAGCTCAACACACACAGAGCCCTGGAGATTCAGAATGAGAGCCAGTTCATACCTGGTGTTTCTGAAGAAGGAACAGCTGAAGACGGGAAACCTGTCAAACACAGAGAGAGAAATCAGAGTGTGAAGCAATTTAACACAATTTATGAAACTACAATTAAAACAGCACTGATGTGATAAAAACAGTCCTCATTCTCTCTTTGCCTGCTCCAGGTGAATCACTGGTGATATTTGAGTGGAGTGGAGTGTCAGCTGTGTTCAACCTTTACTATCCATAAACCTTCACTATCTGACTCTTGCTTTCTCTTCAGCCCCTTGGTTTATTATTTGTTGGATTAAAGAACAAATTAAACTGGACAGGTTTTAGTTACTAGGTACTGACACCATGTTTTTTTAAAGTTCATATAACTATGAATATGAATTGAAAAATCTGAATATAAATATAAAACTCATTTTTACTCCTCACTGTATCTGTGTAGCAATCTGAAAGAAAATTACACAGTAATGTAATAGTGTGCTTCTGTGTGTAAGCAGAGGGAGTGTTATTGTGTTTTAAACACATAATTCTCACCAGAGCAGATGACTCCTGCGTCCTGTCCATGAGAGCACCCTGCTCTCCCCCATGAAGACACAACGCAGTGTGAGAGATGGCTCTCATTGCCCCAGCACTCAAACACATCAGCCCTTACTGGTCCACTGCCCTGTCCAAACCAGGCCTGTCCTGGTGCTGCTACAGCCTCCCCACAGCCCAGCTGCTGGCAGAGAACACTGGCATCTCTCAGGTCCCAGTAGAGATCACACACTGTCCCCCAGTCCCTGAAGAGCCACTGTAACTCCACTCGGCCAGAGCAGGAGTCCAAGCCATTCACCAGTCTAAACCCTGTGTATCCTGCACACAGGACAGGGGAGAGAGCAGAGAGACAGCTTCATAACACAATAACAGGCAATAACTCTGAACTTCACCTTCAAATCCATTGTGATGATGCACTTGTGTTTTTTAATCAAAATGATGACTTTTTTCATTTTCAAGTGTAAACAAAAAAACAATACAAAAACAAAGCAGATCAATCTCTTTGATCATGGCTCTCTTGCAGAGAGCTGGTGTGCTCCTTCTCTTCAGATACCTCACGCACTTGCTAACAAGCTGGAATTTAAATGGAGAGGAGCTCACCAGTCAATCATCTGGGACTGTAATAACTGCTTGCTGACTCCCCTCGATTAGATATTCATGAGGACTACCTGTCACATATTTTTAAAATCTTGTCCTTTTAATTATTGAAGTAGCTTATCAAGATGTTATTGTGAATCAGAAGGCTGATTTTATGAGGCATCATGGCCAAACCATGGTAGCATGACCAAACCAATGTATCATCATTGAAGTCAGTGGAACACCACTACAGCAAAGACTGCTGGGAACGACAGTCTGATGACCGCAGTGAGCAGATGACTGATTGGAGTTGGGGTCTGTTTCTCACCCAGACTCTGTATTATGAAATACATGATCCTGCTCTTACCAAAACACTTCAGTCCCACGAAGTTCTCATGGGTGCATCCCTGTGTTTTTGTGGACTTTGGACAGAAGAAAATCTGAGATTCATTGCCATGGCAGTGGAGCACCTCGGAATGGAAGTTTGCTTCCCCCTTCCCGAACAGATTCCCTTTCAGGACTTGTGAAGAAGCCCCACAATCTAGCTGTCGACAGACAACTTCTGCATCCTGCCTCTCAAAGTCAGAGTCACACACTGAACCCCAGGTCTCTCCGTGCTGCAGTTCCACTCTTCCAGAGCAGAGATCACTGCCTCCAACAAGCCTGACCCCTCGATGAGCTGGAATATTAGAACAATAACAGAGATCACTCTCCCTGACCAGTCTGACCTGTCAATGAGCAGTGCGAATGGGAGGATGGACAGATGGATCATGATAATGGACTCTAGATCACCGATGGAGCTTCAATATCCCTCCCTGCTGGAGACTGGAGAGAGTCTGTACCTTCTCCCTGAACACCTCAGTTGACCATCATGGACATGACTGAAACCCCATTCTTACCTACCTGTACAGATCACTCCAGAGTCCTCATGAGCATAGTAGTACTGTTTCACTTCATCTTTACTACAATCTCTCAACGCAGACTCTGATCCCCTGCAGTCGACCCAGCCCAGCAGGACTGATCCAGACCCTGGTCCAAAGTGAGCTCCTATTGGTGCTGAAATAGCAGATCCACAGCTCAGCTGTCTGCACACCACTGCAGCATCTTCCAGATCCCATTCTCTGTCATAAACTGTCCCCCACTCTCCTTTATACTGAATCTCCACTGTCCCCTCACAGGGACTGGCTCCATTCACCAGCCTCACGTCAGCACTGCCTGGAGAAAGAGAGAGACAATACTTGTCTACAGGATGTTTTTATATTTATACATATTTGAAAGATACCTGATATTGTCTTATTTGTCTTATTAATGTCTTTTACCTGCTTGATTAGATTGGTAGTCCCTTTTATTGGGAAGAGGAGACAGTACAGTGACAGGAAGATACTGACAGTGTGTGAGATATTGGAGCGGCTATCTGTGTGACTTCAGAAGGCTGGGACTTCTGGTCCTGTGTTTCTGGGAGCTGTGGTCACTTCAGAGTTCACTACAGTTCTCTGTTCACATTAGAGTAACTACATTGCTACTGATTGTATATAACAGGTAAGAGATTTAAACACTGATGTGTCACTCTGTGTGCTGTACTTTGAAAGCATTAGTTAAGAAAACAAAACAGAAACAGTGAAAGATTTTTCACAGTTCACATCATATTGTGCTGAAATATATACGAGATGTACAGTATATGTTGTGATGGAGATTTCTGTCTGAACTACATCCCCAGGCTGCCATAAGACACCTGACCAATTTTAAGAAGATGATTGATTAGTTGTCAGTCTAAAACCAGTAAGCCAAGTCTTTCAAGGGTTCAGTCTACCTGCTGTCTGGGGACAGAGTTCAGATCCTACAGAATGTGTTGTAAATTCACCCAGGATTTTCATCTAGCTAAAACATTTGTGGCTTTTGAGGCTTTCATAGCGTTTATGGTGGTCAAAGAGAAAAACCTGTTTGGTAAAAATGTTTGTAAAGAGTCTCAGAGGTTGTAAAGATAGACTGAGCTTTTTGAGGAGTCTGGTCGAGGCAATAGGTCTTGTAAGATTTGCGGACTGAAACCTGATGTTGTAGCATAACTGTGCAGCTCTGTTTATGAGGGAGTGAGCATGTTCAGTAGTTCAAAAATGGGGCACTTGCTTTAATGGGAAAATAAAACCAAAAACACCTGCACTGTAAATAAAAACACTTCTGTTCCATATGGCTCTGCCTGTTTTCTAGACTGTGAACTCAATCACCAGTTACTACACCTGAACGTTTCCCATTCTATAGGTAATAATTAATTAGATCTGTTTTGCTTTTTTGCGGAAATTTACATTCACCTTCAATTTGCATTTTGTGACATATTTCTGGATGTATAATGCCCATTTATTTTTTAGCATTTATAAAATTTGTACACCAGGGGAAACTTGTTAATGATATGCCCACTGTGTTTCTACCCCTCATCTTCCAAGATCTCATCTAAATACATGATTTGCAGATTAAACTGTATTTCCTAAGCAACATATTCCACACCTGCCAGATATGTAAACTGCAGGGTGATGCGGTGACTCTGTGGCTAAGGATCTGCGCCTGTGGCTAGAAAGTTACAGGTTCGTATCCTGTGGCTGGCAAAGGAATCCTACTCTGTTGGGCCCCCGAGCAAGGTCCTTAACCCTAACTGCTCCAGGTGTGCTGTATAAATGGCTGACCCTGTGCTCTGACCCCAAGCTTCTCTCCCTGTCTGTGGGTCTCATGGAGAGCAAGTTGGGGGATGTGAAAAGACAAATTCCTAATACAAGAAATTGTGTATGGCCAATAAAGTGATCTCTTATTTCACCCAATGGAAAGACACTGATAGCAACACCCGCTGTGTTACTGTGATGTTGTCCTGAGTGTCTGCTCAAAACCTTGACATGAGGGCAAGAGTCAACAAGAAGACTCTTCCACAGTGGCAGACAGGTGATTCATGTGTTGTGCTGAAATGTATATGAGGTTTATATTATTCTTTGTGTGAAATATGTGAACAACAGATTTTAGCATTTACCTGTCAAGACCTATATATAACAAATCATGGATCGATTAACTTATGTTAAAGCACAACATATTCCAAACGTAGAAAAAAGTTAAATACACAGACATTGATTCTGAGACCCATTATATTTTATTCCAAATATACCAGTTTTAATGTATTTTGCTGAACAGTCATTCCTTAACCCCAGAGTTCACAGTTCAGTTTATTGGTCATATCCACAAATGCAATGAAATGCTTCTTTGCATGTGTGCTCCAATACAAAGACATTGAGGAAACATCAACCTAAACACACAACAATAGCAGCAACATCTAAAGTAAAATAGCACTCAAATCAAATTAAAGTTTCTCAACTCAGATCAAATTAAACTCAGCACAAGCAGTATGAAACAAAAACACCAGTGGAGGTCAACAAGACGATTTGCTAAGTTGCAGAAAGGTGTTTCACATGTTGAGCTGAAATATAAATGAGGTACAGTGCCTTGCGAAAGTATTCGGCCCCCTTGAACTTTTCAACCTTTTGCCACATTTCAGGCTTCAAACATAAAGATATA